TATCCTGGCCGTCACTTAGGAGTCACACTTTCCTCGCTTCGTCAGTAAAAAGGATGTGAACGTGTTTTATTGTAGTCTTAACTGTGCTGCTGTTTTGATCTGTGACTTTTTTTCTTTGGCTGGTTATCCCTGTTTGTTTACGGGAGTTGTTTACATATTAAGGATGCTAGTTGTGCTGGTTACCTCTGGTTGTTCTACAAGGCAGTTACTTCCAGCTGGGATCTTCTCACGAGGTTGCAGTCCAGCTCTTGGCAGTCATTGGCAGGCTGCGAGTGGGGCTGGAGGACAGGTGGGGCAGGGAGTGTTGGGAGGCCCCAGTTCCTTGCCACGTGGGCCTCTCCAGAGTGCTTCCAGTGCGGCACCGAGCTTGCCAGTGAAGGACTCGAGAGAAAGAAGTCGGGATGAAAGCCGCAGTCTTTTTTTTTTTTTTTTTTTTAAAGATTTATTTATTTGAAAGATACAGTTACAGAGAGGTAGAGACAGAATGAGAGGTCTTCCATCTGCTATTTCACGTCCCAAATGGCTGCAACTGCCGGAGCTGAGCCCATCCGAAGCCAGGAACCAGGCTTCTTCCAGGTTTCCCACATGGGTGTAGGGTCCCAAGGACGTGGATCATCCTCCACTACTTTCTCAGGCACATTAGCAGGGAGCTGGATGGGAAGTGGAGCAGCCGGGACTTGAACCAGTGGGACTAGGATGCCAGCGCTGCAGGCTGGGGCTTTAGCCCACTGTACCACAGCACCGGCCCCAGCCTAAGTCTTTTTATAACCCAGTCTCAGACATGACATACCATGACTTCTGTCCTCTGCTGTTGGTTGCACAAACCAACTCTTGCACAGTGTGGGATGGAACAGCACGGGTGTGAGGCCAGCATCATTGGGGGCCGTCTTGGAAGCTGCCCTTCAGTCTTTTGTGTTTTCTGTGTTGCTAGCATCTCTGCTTTTTGTTTCCTCTAAGATGGCTTTTGATAAATAGAAGTTTTTCATTATAACACAGGTTAGGCGGGCGCCGCGGCTCACTAGGCTAATCCTCCACCTGGCGGCGCCAGCACACAGGGTTCTAGTCCCGGTCTGGGCGCCGGATTCTGTCCCGGTTGCCCCTCTTCCAGGCCAGCTCTCTGCTGTGGCCAGGGAGTGCAGTGGAGGATGGCCCAGGTGCTTGGGCCCTGCACCCCATGGGAGACCAGGAGAAGCACCTGGCTCCTGCCTTCGGATCAGCGCGGTGCGCCGGCCGCGGCAGCCATTGGAGGGTGAACCAACGGCAAAGGAAGACCTTTCTCTCTGTCTCTCACTGTCCACTCTGCCTGTCAAAAACAAACAAACAAACAAAAAACAAAAAAAAAAAACATAACACAGGTTGATCAGTCTCAATGTTTTCCTAAGAAACTTTTGAGTCAGAGTAAAAAGGGATATTCTATATTTTCTTCTAAAAATGTTAAGAATTTTGTCTTTCACATGAATTTAGTTACATTTTACTTTGATGTGATGAAGTAAAGAATTATTTTTTCCTTTTAGTTTTTCACAAATTCTTTCTTTCTTTCTTTATTTATTTATTTTTTGACAGGCAGAGTGGACAGTGAGAGAGAGACAGAGAGAAAGGTCTTCCTTTTGCCGTTGGTTCACCCTCTAATGGCCGCCGTGGCAAATTCTTTATTTTAAAAAGTCACCCTTTTCCAAGCTGTCAATAGGATCACTCTGTCACATGTGAAATTTCTAACAACAGTGTCTTAAGTACTGTAGCTTAATGAGCTCTTATTAAGTCTGTAGGACAGACACAGGTCTGGTGGGCATTGTCACCTGGGACCACTGTGAATCAATTTCTTGGTTTTGGCTTTGGAGGATTTTACTACAGGTCTCCAGGACAGGCCTGTGGTTGCAAATCCCCCTGAAGACTTCTTTTTCTTAGAAATATATTTTAATTGACATACAGTGACTATACTATTTCTAGGGGTACAATGTGACATTGCAGTACACCTGTGTAGTGTGTAATGATCAGATCTGAGTAAGTGGCATGTTTACCACCTTAGACATTTATCATTTGTTTTGGAAACATTCAAAATCCTATTAGCTCTTTAAAAATAATTCAGTTAATTGTTTTCCGCAGTAGTTACCCTGCTGTGCTATAGAAAATATAGGAAGTATTCCTGCCATCCAGCTGCATCACTGTACTGTTACCCATCTTCTGTCCGTCCTTCCCTCACCCACATTCTTCTCAGACTGTTAACCACGGTTTTGTTCTCTTTCTGTAAGGTCAACTTTTTAGATTCTGCATTAGTGAGCACATGCAGTATTTGTGTCTTATTTTGCTGAACGTCCTCCAGCCGGATCCATGTTGTTGCACATGATAGGATTGCATTCTTGGGGCTGAATGACACTCCACTGTGCACATGTACCCACTGATCTGTTGATGGCCACCTAGGCTGAGTCCATCTCTCGGTTACTGTGAACAGTTCTGCGGTAAACATGCATGTGCCGATGTCTCTTCCAAAATTTCATGAAAAAGTAGAATTAAAAGATAACGCATATTTCCCATGAGCTTTTTTAAGCTCACTTGTATTCCTGGTAGTGTGACTGCTGTTCGACGTGGCAATCCTGTTTCTAGTGTTTTGAGGACTCTTCCTGCTGTTGTGGAGTTCTGCTTGCTCAGAATCCTAACCAGCATCTACTTTTTGTCTTTGATAGCAGACTAGGATGAGGGGATGGTATCTCAGTGTGGCTTTTTAAAACTTTTTTTTGTAAAGATTTATTTATTTATTTGAAAATCAGAGTTAGAGAGAGAGAGGAGAGACAGATCTTCTATGCACTGGTTCATTCCCCAGATGGCCACAACAGCCAGGGCTGGGCCAAGCCAAAGCTAGGAGCTTCTTCCAGGTCTTGTACCCAGAGGCCCAGGGCCTTGGACCATCTTTTGGTGCTTTCCCAGACCATTAGCAGGGAGCTTGATTGGAAGAGGAGCAGCCGAGACTCGGACCAGTGCCCATACGGGATGCCAACGCTGCAGAAGGTGGCTTAACCCACTGCCCCGCAGTGCTGCCCCCCTTCAGTGCGGCTTTGATTTGCATTTCCCTGATGAGAAGTAATGTTGGGCATATTTTCATACTCCTTCAAGAAGTTTACAGGAGCAGCCAGCACTGTGGCGTAGTGGGTAAAGCCATCACCTGCAATGCCGGCATCCCATATGGACGCTAGTTCAAGTCCCGGCTGCTCCACTCCTGATCCAGCTCTCTGCTATGGCCTGGGAAAGCAGTAGAAGATGGCCCAAGTCCATGGGCCCGGGGCACCCATGTGGGAGACCTGGAAGAAGCTCCTGGCTCCTGACTTCGAATCAGCTCAGCTCTGGCTGTTGTGATCATTTGGGGAGTGAACCAGTGGATGGAAGACCTCTCTCTCTGCCTTTCAAATAAATGAATCTTAAAAAGTTTATGGGAAATGTATTCAATTAGCTTTTGTTTTCTACACTTTAAGTACCATCATGTTTATTGCCATTTTATATACCTTTTTTCTCCCTATTCGCCAAAATGAACAAAAATTTAAGGTAAATAAATTTATTTATTTGGGTCATTTACCTCTTTTTTAAATTTTTTTTTCTGTTGAGTTCCTTTTTTATACTGGATATTAATCTCTGGTTGAATGAATAGTTGGTAAATACTGTCTCCCATTCTCTTCATTCTGTTGTTTGCTTAGGTATTTTAGCTTGATATATTGTTTGTCAATTTTTTGCTTTTGTTGCCTGTGTTTTTGGGGTCATATCTAAAAAGGTTTTTGTCCAGATCAATGTCATGCAGTTTTCCTGTAGTGGTTTCATAGAGCTGGGTGTTACATGGAAGTTGTTGATGCATTTTGGGTTGGCTTTGGTTTCTAGAGGTCCAGTTTGTGTTTCATGGTGCAAATCCAGCTTTTCTAGCACCATTTTCTCTAATGTGTTCTTGCTGCCTTTTTGAAAAACCAGTTGTAAATAAGTGGCTTTATTGCTGGGTTCCTCTATTCTGTTCCACAGGTTATATGCCAGGACTGTTATCATCATCATTAATTTCCTTTGGGAGCGCCACAGGAAGGTAGGCATTTTCCTGGCGTGAGGATTAATTATACGTGTCAGCTTGACGGAGTTAAGGATTGGCTGGAGAGAGGGGTGAAGCATGACTTCTAGTTGTGTCTGCAGGGGTGTTCCCATAGGAGACTGGTGTGAGTCGGGGGACTTGGTGGGGAGACCCACCCTCACTGTGGACGGGCACTATCCAAGCAGCTACTGGCCCGAATATAACAAAAAGGCTGAGAAAAGGCGATTTTTCTCTCTGGGAGCTGGAACATGCTCCTGCTCTTGGACATCAGGCTCTCTGACCCTTGGCCTTGAAAGGACCGAGTTACACCACTGGCTTCCCCAGTTCTGAAGCGGTGGGTTTGGACTGAGCCATGCTACTGGCATCCCTAGGTCTTCGCCTGCAGTTGGCCTGTCATGGGACTTCACAGCCTGCATCCTCACGTAAGCCAGTTTCCCTCAATCATTAATCCCATCTTAGATGTATCACACAGTTTCCCATTCATTGAACTGATCTTAGTATTTTGCCTCTACGTCCTCCAGGTTTTTACGTTTTCTGACAGAGCTGGTTTATCTTAATTCTGTTTTCCATGAATTTTTTTTTTAAAGATTTATTGATTTACTTGAGAGGCAGAGAGGGAGAGACAGAAAGGTCTTCCATCCACTGGTTTATTCTCCAAATGGCTGCAAAGGCCAGAGCTGGGCTGATAGGAAGCCAGGAGCTTCTTCTGGGTCTCCCATGTGGGTTTAGGGGACCAAGGACTTGGGCCATCTTCTACTGCTTTATCAGGCCATCAGTAGGGAGCTGGTGTGGTTGCGAAAGTCTTAGGGTAATGGTACTCAGAGGGTGGGAACTTAAATTATTATATTTGTGGTACAAGGTGGGCTTCCTGGTTGGCTCCTGGAGGCCAGGAGGTAGAATTATTACATTAAGATGAGTTATTTTGTAGTAAAGACACTGGATACAACTGTTTCACAAAAAGATATATTTTCATTCATTACTATTTACATTGTCCATATTCATTTAAAGAATATCATACAACTGATACCTTCTGAAATGTTTCATGCTTTTTAAAAAAACTCTTCTATTTACACTTATCTGAGATGGAATTAAAACTAAAATGATCAAATACTGTAATAATGGAAGGCAGCCAGCCAACACAGCTAGGGCTTCTCTTACATTTGCTGATCAACATTAGCAATAGTTACCTTAATAATAAATTATTTTAAAATCAGTAGTAATTTTCAACAGTCCATAAATAGTGTGCTCTGTGCAATTTACACATTTAATATCCTATGGATACTAAAAGCGTGTGTATTGTCAGATGTGCACATTATTCCTGTATCAGATGCTGAGCTTTCCCAAAGGAGGACCTGGAGAAGCCTGGAACAGCCTGTGAGGTTCCCTGAGGCGTCATCAGAGCTCTGCCTGTTTCGCAGGAGGCGGCTCCAGTTTCCGGGAGAGGGCTGTCAGGATCTGGCTGAATTTCTCGTATCTCTCCGTCTGATTGACTTCCGCACCCTTGCTGCCCCATAGCAACCGCATTTGAAATTCAGTCTTGAAGACTTCACTCATTTCTTCATCTGGTTGAAAACCTAATCAAAACAAAAAGTTACTTCAGTTCTGCCCAAAAGTAGTGCCAAAAACAGACCAAGAACTTACAATCAGAACAGGATGGGCGTTGTGACACCATGGTTAAGTTAAACCAGGGATGCCCGCATCTGCTCTGCTTCCAGTCCAGCTTCCTTGCTAACGTACACCCCGGGAGGCAGCAGATGGCGGCCCACGTGCACAACCCAGATTGAGTTCTGGGCTTCTGGTTACGGACATCTGGGGAGCGAACCTGCGTCTGGAAGCTCACTTGCTTGCTCACTCTCTGCCTTTCAAATGTGTTAAATGATAAAACTCTGAAAAAAAAATGTAGGCTCAACATGACCGTCACTTTCACTCAGAACTTTAAAAAAAAAATGCCCCCAAAGCAAAACACAGGATCTGTTCTGTATGGGGGAGGGCAGAGCCCCACCCCCGAGGACCTGAGCGCTTTCAGAGAGGAAATAACAAACTCACTGAAACACCACAGGACGACAATCGCACGTGCCACCGTGGGGCGCCGTGCTCTAAGTGCACATGGTGCCTGGTGTGTGATGCACCTGCTGCAGCTGTACACCACACCGTCCACTTGGAGCCCTCCCCTCGCCCGCGTTCCCTAGCAGTGCTCTGAAGTCCGTCCTTGCTGCCAGCCCACACGGTGACTCATGGGCCTGCTGCTGCTACTGTCCTGCCTTTTCTGGAAGTTTGGTATGGATGGAACCACACATCAGGACTTTAAGATTGCGATGTTTTGCATTATTGGGTGAGCTGCTTGTTACTAACAACTCCTTTGTATTGCTGAGCAGTGTCCAGTTCTGTGGATGCGTACTGCGGTCTGTTTACTTACTCAATGATGGCCACTTGGATTGTTCCGGTTTCTGGCTACTATGAGTAAGGCTGTGGAGGCCAGAGATGCCCGGGCAACTCTATTAAAGGGAGAAGCCTCTGGCCAGAGTCCTGTGGCTCTTAGCCTGTGTTAATGCTGGAGCAGTCTGCTCCGTCATTCAGTGCGTTCCTACCGTCTAGACCACAGGACCCTGGTGGTTGGAAAGGATGGAGAAGCCTGGTCTTCCCGATGCTGCCTGAATGGCCTTGCTGGGTGAACAGCCAGAGGCCTGCTGACGACTTCTGTTCACTCAGTTCGCTTGCTTGATCCCTCCCTACATTGAAGCTGGGTGCTGGCAACTTCCTGGTAAGCCACACCCCTGCCCCTACTCGGTTCACACGGCCACTGCCAGCGGTGGGAACTTACTATACACATGGTGGCCGGATCAACTGAGAAATTCCACCAGAGCCTGGCTGCGGAACAGCCCAAGGCACACCTTCCTCAAAACCCATCCTAATGGACTGAGTTAGGCAACACCCAGCATAACAGGGATTCCTGGCGTTGTGAAAGCGGGCTCTGCTGGGCTGTGTGTTTATTCCGCTCAGCCCTGGAGGGTTTTGAGGGAGAAAACCAAACAAGGCTGAGGCCTAGAGCGGACCCAGTGCAGTCCGCCGTCTGCTTCTGCAGCAGCAGCTTTCTTTAGGGGAAGTGAAGGGGCCTCTCCGCCCCACACAGCGCTTAGCGGTCGGTTGTTTCTAGTGAGGGAGGAAGACACACCCAGCCCTGACAACCGCCTTGGGGAAGGCCTCCTTTTTGGACTTGCTCCTCCGTGGGCTCTCTGCCTCCACCCTTCCTCCACGGACACCAGGTCTGACCAGTTCTCCACTGGCTCTCCCTGAGCCACGGTCCCGCGTGGAAGGCCCTTCCCAGCTGTGCCGTCGGCCATGCCCTAGGTCACTGGACACAAACCCTAGCCAGGTCCTTGTGGTCCCAGCGCTTCTGCTTGCGCTGCGCCCTCTGACTGGCATTCCCTCCCCAGAAAACCGATGGAAAGGGACGGGGGTGCCAGTCAGGGCAACACAGGCCAAGACGCTGCGGGAGCTGGGTTTTTCGCAGTCACGGGTGGCTCTCTCCTTCCTCCCTGCGTCTTTGACCACACTCAGCTAAGTGCTCCCCAGCCCCCACCCGCCGCCGGGTACCCCCACACACCTTGGGGCCACGCCTGTGACGAGATGTCTGTAACACGTGCTTATCACAGCTGCTCTCCACTGCCCCAGTCGAGTTTACCCAACACTCCAGGATGTGCCCAATGCTCAGCAGGGGAGCGCGCGGCGCAGTGCCACGGAAAGAGGCAGGCAGGCCCAGGAAGTGGAGAGGAGGCTCCGCCTCCTCACTGATGACAGCTCCCTGTTCCCTGCACCCCCGAGAGCGCACAGGGACGGGGGGGGGGGGGGGGTGGGGGTGGGGGGGGGTGCCGGCCACTGCAGAGAGCAGCAGTCATGGTGGCAGAATCCCTGAGCCTGCACCTGCCTCACCGTTAACGGCTCCCCACCCCGATCGCGGCACGGAGGAGCGCGAGCGGCCCTACCTGCCAGCATCCTCTCGGCGTTGGCCCGGTAGCTGTCGGCGGCCTGGGCCATGAGGCGGGCCGCGGCCAGGTGGTTCAGCATAATTTCACAGCTCTGGTCGTGTTTTTCCCACAAGTCCGTTCCTTCAAAAGTGACGGCCTGGCGCTCCATTAAGGTCACGAGGGGCATCAGCAGCGGGACTGACACACTGCACGGGGGGACACACGTGGGCTCTGAAGAACAAGGAGCAAAGATGTCGCACTCATCCTGTTTCCCGAGTGAACGCAGCGGGTGCCGACAGGCTGCCCCTGCCTTCTGCGAGCCACCCGCCGCCCTGCAGCTCCCTGGGGCCTCGCCACGTCCCCTGCCGCCGCCGCTGCCTCACCTCGGCCTTCGTGCAGCACTTTGCTGAAGGGCTTCAGCTGCTTCTCGTAGAGGATGGCGGTCTGCGTGTACTGGTGCCGCAGGGCCGTCCACGTCTTCTCCAACCTCGTGATCTGCAAGGGGAGCGGGCAGTGGTTTGGGAAAAGGCTCTGTGTAAACCTTATGCTTAAATTTGGGGACAAGCCATCAATGCACACAGTAAAACTGTCAAAGCGAGAGGGTGAGAGAGGGAGAACAATGCTCCCCCCACCCACGACACACACACACTCCTGCACTGCTGTAACAGCCCAGCACACAGCGCTCTTTAAAACTCAACGTGTGCACTTCTGCTTTCTGATCCTGGCTTGGCACTCACCCCGTGCAAGCCCTTGTTCTCTGTATGCAGCCATATACCACAGGTGCACTGAGGGGCCTGAAGACACTCTGCTATCATGAAATGACTTGGCAAATGTGAGTCCAGGAGCGGCTGCAGTGTGACGTGAGTCCTTGTGCACTGCCTGAACTACACAGAACGCAGCCCAGAGCGCACAGTGCCAGCACCTGCGGCCGTCTCCGGCTGACTGCCTGCCTTGTAATAAACAGCCTCTCCCACACCATAAAGGCCGCACGTTTTCTCCACGAGACAAGGAAGGGCACTGGTATTTATGGACATCCTGACCAATACTCTGGTCTCGTCTCACAGATCAGGAAACACGAGAGACCAGGTAGCTTGCCCAAGCTGCCCCTGCCGTAAGTGGCAGAACCAGCACGGACTTCCTCAGCCTGAGCTCCCACATGGGCCGAGGGGAGAAGGGTAGCACCAGCCATCTGCAGGTCTCCTGTGGGCCACCCACGCTGCTGCCTTCTGCTCACAAACCCTTGCCCTGCTGTGGGAGGGGGCTCGGCCCATCTCCTGGATGCCTCTCTTGCTACTTGCAGTGAGGGTGGCACGCGTGGCGGCGGGACAGGGAGCTTTGCATGAAGACACAGGAACGCCTTGATGCTCCTCGCGAGGGAAACCACTCCCTTCTGCAACAGGGCCCGGCTCACTCCAGGGCCGCGAATCCACAAGGGGAGCCACTGCGAGCAGGGAGGTCTGGGGAAAGCCCTGCCTGCTAGGATTGATTTCATGGGCAGCAACCATGTAATCCCACTTGACTGCTCTCAGAGGGCGTGCCGGGCTGCACAGCTGTATACACAGCCTCAGCTGTTAAGTCGTGGGTGGCGCTGGTGCTGCCGTATGGGTACCGGTTCAAAAAGTCCAGGCTGCTCCACATCCCTTCTAGATCCCTGCTAATGTACCTGGGAAAGCGGTGCAAGACGGCCCAAGTGCCTGGGCCCCTGCTACCCGCGTGGGAGGCCAGGTGGAGTTCCAGGTCCCTGGCTTCAGCCTGGCCCAGTTCCAGCCTTGTGGCCGTCTGGTGAGGGAAGCAGCAGGTGGAAGATCTGCCTGTCTCTCCCTCTCTCTAACTGCTTTTTAAACAAATTTTTTACGTTTATTATTTTTTTGAAAGGCAGGGTCAGAGAGAGGAGGAAAGGCAGAGACATCTTCTATCTGTTGGTTCACTTCCCAAATGGCTGCAACAGGCAGGGCTGGGCCAGGCCAAAGCCAGGAGCCACATCCGGGTCTCCCATGTGGGTGCAGGGGCCAGACACTTGGGCCATCTTCCACTGCTTTTCCCAGGTGCATTAGCAGGGAGCTGGGCAGGAAGTGAGCAGCAGGGACTGGAACTTGAACCGGTGCCCACAGAGGATGCTGGTGCTGCAGGGAGCAGCTTAACTTGCTGAGCCACAGTGCCAGCCCTGGTAAATAAACCCTTAAAAAAAATTACAGGCAGTTCCAGATGACAGGAGGCAGACATGATGCAGATTAAAAACACTTACATGAAAAATTCTAACCCCTATGATAGGAATTGGTGTATCTGAAAATACAGAATTTATGGGTTGCTTATTTCAAATAGCAATCCTGTGACATTTCAATGCACCTGAAGAATTCTGAAAGCTTGAAATATTCACCACATTTCTGTAATTTAATATCGGAATGGGCCCCTCCTCGCCAAATTCCTGGTAAAGGAACTAAGTTGTTCCTCTTGTTTTTAAGGTGACTTCGCTTTAGTGGGAGGAAACGCGGTTCCTGCCACACCCTGACCGCAGCACACGTGACAGTGGCCGTCTTCCTCGGCGGACTGGCAGGGAGCCCCTGGCAGGATTCCCGAGACTCTAGGTGGCTTCGAGACAGCCCTGCTAACAGGGAGGCAGTGTGGCGTTGCCGCTCGCGGACTGGGCGCGCAGGGCTGTCGGCGGGCTCCAGGTCCCCCCATGGACCCGGGACGGTGGAGACAGCTGCAGGCCTGCCCTCCGTGAGGCCTGAGGTCAAATACAGGTCTTCATGTTCGGCACTCTTCGTGAAAAGGGCAATCCTGTCAAGGATGAACTCTAGTGCCCAGGTTAGAAAGAAGCTGGGGGTTCTACGAGTCCGGCGGGGGGCCGGGTGTCTGTTTCAGGGGCCCTGCGGGCCACACTGGGAGGTGAACCGCTCCAGGGGCTGTCAGATGCAAGCTCCCAGATGCCTTGGTTCCCTGGTCAGTGCCCCTGGCTGCCTGGGTGCCTGGTGCCCGCCCGGTGGAAGCAGCCTCCCCACTTCAGCTGGGTGGCTCCGAGGGGCCAGGACTCAGGTTGTCCACGAGGCAGGCAGCGCATGCTGGCAGTAGTTATCCACTGCTGCTAAAACAATGGGCCAAGAAGAGACTGGGGTGCGGCTCTTGGTTGCCCCCTCATCCAGGCAGCTTTCCCTGAGTCAGCCTGGCTTCTGAGAGGGGCAGGGACAGCCCACAACCCGCGGAGCAGAGCGCGCAGACAGCAGACCCTTCCATCCACGCGCGACCCACGCCCGCTTTACCTGCGGCATTTCCAGGGCCTTCATGATGGCTGAGAAGGAGTAGAGGTCCCCCACCGCATCTTTCAGCTCCGCCGCCACCTGGATGATGCGATTGAGGGTGGCAGCTCGGTCCTCCAGAGAGCCGGTGCAGCCTAGGATGTCCACCGCCACGCCGATGGCCATGGTGTTGTGTCTGAGAGGCAGGGACAGGTGGTCAGGCTCGGGGCCAGTGGGACCGGGAGAACACGCAGTGAGCCAGGAACAGGCCTGCTGTGGCCCCTCCGGCGGCAGGCCAGCCTCCCCAGGGACCACCCCCAAGCAGGGCGTGCTGTGCGGTCAAGAGCAGTTTGCTCCAAAACAGGGCCAGGGTCAACCCTGGCCCCGGCGGTGTGACCCGGGGGAAGCAGCTCAAGTGTATGTCTCCTTGTGTCCTCACAGTGAAGAAACCACAGACACACACACACACACACACACACACACACACTCCCATCACCCTTGGGGAAGCCCGGGGCCACCTCCCCTGAGCCCCCCTGGACTAGAGAACAGACTAGAAGGGGAAGAAAAGAGATGAGCGGGGGCCGGTGCTGTAGTGCAGTGGGTTAAAGCCCCGGTCTGCAGTGCCAGCATCCCATACGGGCACCAGTTCAAGTCCCAGCTGCTCCACTTCCCATCCAGCTCTCTGCTACGGCCTGGGGAAGCAGCAGAAGATGGCCCAAGTCCTTGGGCCCCTGCACCCATGTGGGAGACCTGGTGGAAGCTCCTGGCTTCAGATCGGCACAGCTCTGGCCATCTGGGGAGCGAACCAGCTGATGGAAGACCTACGTGTGTGTCTGACTGTCTGTCTGTCTCTCTCTCTCTCTCCCTTTCTCTCTCTGCCTCTGCCTCTCTGTAGCTCTGCCTTTTGAATAAATGAATGAATTTTTTTTAAAGGGATGAGCTGGATCTGGGAGGTGAGGGCAGGATGAGCACAGAGGGGCAGAAAAGGAGGAAAGAATGGTGCTGGCACTCAGTGGCCCCACTTGGGAGGCCAAGGGGCAGGAATCCGCCTCAGGGGCCAGGCCCAGACCCTAGCAAAACGCAGACCCACTTCCCCTACCAATCCTCCCTTCTCTCATCCCAAACTGCAGGAGCAGGGCGCACCTCCCCCCACCGCCCATCAGGTTAGTCTGCGGCGGGAGGCGCACACCAGCCCCGTTCCTTCCTGCTGTGGCAGCACCGGGTCAGAACCGCCTCAGGTAAACGTCTTCCCAGCAGAGGTGCCGCGCTGGGCGGAGGCCTCCAGTGCCTGGAGCCCCAGAGCTGCTAGCACACCCACACCCTTGGAGTTCCAGCCCCGCTGTCCCGAGAGCACGCAGCCCAGGCCGTCCCTCCAGGCTCCGTCTGCCCGGCTATGTGGGGTCTCCCGCTGGCCCAGGCGGGGCCTGGCCTCACGTTGGGCTCTCCTGTCTGTTGGCTGAGGATGGAGTGTACGGCACTCACTTGTGGTCTGGTCATACATAGGCTGGGACCTGACCGCTCCACTCCTTTGCGGCTGCTTCTGCGAGCGGGAGCGAGGGGTAGAGAAGCAGGAACTGAGTGGGCGTAGAAACACAGTGCAGGCGGCAGGCGCCCGCTGCTTCCCTTTGGATGTCCCTGCAGCGTGGTCCACCTGGCCTGCTTGTCTCCATCTCCTTCCCCTTCCCTGCAGTTAGCTCCTTTTCCTGAGTTCAATGGATTATTCCGTGTTTTCCTTCCTACGTCTTAATGGCCCTCACAGAAGGTTCTCTGCTCCTTTTTAAGACCTGATGTTACATCCGCGGTTAAGAGGGCAATTATGTCATTCATTCCTCCAAGCGTCTGCCTGAAGCCTCCTGGGTGCACCACTCGAGCAGCCACGCGGGCGGCGGGCGGGCGAGTCAGCCGTGGGAGCCCCGTGCTCAGCCCCAGGAGGCGCTCGCCTTCCCGGGAGGATGTTTCCAGCTTGCTGTGCGGGGATGCGTGAGGGTCATTTTATATTTGATTCAGATGGCAAGAAGGCCACGCCACTGGACACTTTAGGACCCCTGTGACCTTGGCTTTCCTTCAGTAAACACCCTGTCATTCCATAAAATCACTCCCCAGGCACTAGCAGGCAGATCCCACACACCGGCCTGAGACAGGAAATGAGCTAAGGAGCGAAATCCCAGCCAGGCAGCAATCGGCAGAGAAAAGAACCAGATGCTGATGAGCAGGAGTCAAAAAAAATGGCCGAGGAAGAAGCCCCAGACCTGCTCAGCACAGCCAGGCCCAGAACCCACCTATCCCAGCACACCTGAGCATGCGGCTCAAATCAGGCTCGCAGGCCTCAGACCCGGAAGCTGGGGCGTTTCCAGCTGAAATACGTCACAGGGACACGGGGACTACAACTAAGGGGGCGCCGGGGGCCCAGAGGAACCAGGGGTGCCGCGCGAGGCTAGGATGTAGAAGTCTGAGGACCAGGAAATCCAAGGGTTGGACCTGTTGTTCCACAAAGGCTCTGAACAACGGGTGTGCCTGAACCAGGTCACCAGGGCCACTCCGTGCCCTTCCACCTGCGAGGCCGCCACTCGGTGTTTTCCGAGGGCGAGGCCAGCAGCGACACTGGGGCCGCGTATCTGCTTCACAGACACACAGGCGAAAGCAGCTGTGTCCGCCCCGTCGCCCCAGGTTATTCAAAATGCGGTGCTTGCTTCTGGAGGCTGCCGGCTCAGCTCCGCCGTCCACGAGCCCGGGCACGGCTGCTGACTCCAGACACAGTCACCGATGAATCAAAAACTTCCCGGTTGCATTAGCCACGTTTCCAGAGTCCAGCAGACACATGCCATGGCTCTGGCCACGGCCAGTTCTGTTGACCATTTCTGCCATTGCAGAGAACTGGACAGGACGGGACAGGACACCACACTGACCCAGAGATCAGGGACATTGGCTGAGAAAACAGGAAACTTAACAAGACAGTCTTGCCCGTAACAACTTTGTGTATGTGTCTAAAAGGCCAGACTTCCGGGGCAACATAAAAATCCGGTTTTGGGGCCAGTGCTGTGGCGTAGCAGGTAAAGCTGCCACCTGCAGTGCTAGCATCACATGTGGGCACCAATTCGAGTCCCTCTACTCCACTTCCCATCCCGCTCTCTGCTGTGGCCTGGTAAAGCAGTGGAGGATGGCCCAAGACCTTGGGACCTTGCACCTGTGTGAGAAACCCAGAAAAAGCTCCTGGTTCCTGGCTTTGGATTGGTGAGCAACTGGGGAGTGAACCAGCAGATAGAACATATCTTTCTCTCTCTCTCTCTCTCTTTCTCTCTTGGACCACAGCCATCACCTGTTGCCTCCAGGGTGTGCGTCAGCAGGAAGCCAGTGTCAGCGTGGAGCCGGGACTGGAACCCAGGCGTTCCCAAATGCTCACCCTCCCCTTCCAGGTGCACTTAATGGACACCCAGGGCCCCGGCTTTTCAGAGAAGACTTTGTAGGTCCAGGGAGCCAAGGGCCAAAACCCCCTGACCTCTGACCCCTCACCCTAAAGAAAATACCCTTCGGCCTGTTCTTCCCAGCCTTTCCCACAAACTTCCACTGAATTCCTCAAATCCCGGTAAACCCCAAGAAGACAACACGCACACACACAAGCAGGCACACAGGCAGCACGCGGCTCCCCACGTAGGGTGGGGCTGAGGGCGGCAGGTGGTTGGGAAGATGGGAGGTGCGTGCTGGCCCTGGGGCCACAGGCATGGCAAGGCTGCTCCCTTCGCCACCCTCTCCAGGAACACGTCCTCTGCCCAACTCGCACTGCACCGTCTCTGCATCTCCAGGAATTTCCGGCCTGGGCTTCCGAGAAGATGCACCTGGGGCCTTGTGCCGCACCCCCTGTCCCTCAGAGACCCTCGAGCAGCTGTAAGGGCCAGGAAGGCCAAGGACGCACCGCTCACCGTTCAATGATGTCCAGGCGCAGCTGGCGTCCGTGCGGCAGAGTGAGCAGCTCCAGCCCCGAGCTCACGCCCATGTTCCTCCTTGTCTCTTCTGAGACTTCAAGTATCCTGGCAACCTGCGGGGAGCCGGAGGCGGGCAAGGTGGGATGGCGAAGTGGGCTGACCCTGACCGTGCACGTGGCACAGGACAAGCAGCCCACTGCCGGGGGGTGGGGTGGGGGCACCCAGGCTGGCTGCAGCCCTTCATGTGCAATGGTGTGGGAACCGTGGTTCCTGCACGTGACTGGGGTGCTTCTGTACTCATACCCTGACATAGAACCCAGGCAGGGGAGGAAGGACTGGGGACACGCAGAAACCCAGCTGCGGATTTGCTAAGTGTCTCTGCCCAGCTGGACAACCATCCTGTTTTGCAAGCTTTTGTGCGATGCAGGCTGGATCATGCTGCAGTGTTTTGCAGCCAACGGCTGGGCCACATGTGTGCGGGGCTGGCTGCTGCAGGGGAGACACGGAATCCTGTGCAAGCTCCCTCCACGATGGGCGCCGCCACTGGGGATCCCCCCTCCCCCAACAGCCAGGGCTGCCTGCCACGCCCCGAGCTCAGCACAAGCCCTGCAGACCGGTGCAGTAATGAGAAACCCAAGGTCACAATAGCACCCTCTCCTCCCCAGAGGTTTCCCTGGAAGAAAATCTTTGCAAGTGCAGCCCAGCCGGCTCTCTCCCCATCTCCACTGTAGCGTGGGGCCACGGCTAACGGAATCGGGTATCAGGTGACCACATGTTCTGCAGAAGCGTCACCCCCAAGGCGCATGTCTCTAAATGCGACTAATGTAGGAGGCGACTAGCCAAGCCCGGCCACCCGCAGGCACAGGGCAGCCCTCCCTCTCCCCCGTCCTCCACTGTGTGGTCCCAGGCAGACGAGCAGAGGAGCTTCCGTAGTAGAGCAAAGGAAGTCCCGTCCGGACTTCCTTTGGAAGGAGGGAATGAGCCGGCCCGTGGGAGACCAAGGACGGGACACAGATCTCCCGCTGTGCACTCTCCTGTGCCCCTTTTCTGACACAACTGCCAAGGCCGCCTTTCTTCAGGACCTTGCAAAGGATTCAAACGACCCTAAGGCCCCCAAGGGCTATGAGCAAACACCAGTTGTGGATCACGGGCCATGTGGAGGCGGGAAGAATTCTGGCTGGATTTCAGGAGAGATTTACACCTTGACCTTGGCGAGGCAGTGCAGACGCACGCCCCAGAGGCCGGCGGCCATGCACATGGCCTCACTTGTTTGGACAGCTGCCGCCTCTTAGAGGTTCCAAAGCCTGCAGCTCACCGAAAGGCTCGCCGTGGGCCCTGCTCCACTCTAGGAGCACCGGCAGGCGTTCTGTGGTCCCCCTCGGACAGAGAGAAACTCCTATGCGGTTTCCTTCAGTGTAGGCGTGCCACCTCCAGGCCACCTTCCAGGGCCGAGCCGCCCCAGGCTGAGCGAGCTCGCACTAAAGGGCCTGGAGCCAGTCCCCTGGGAAATGCCCAGGGCTGTGAGGCTGGTGGATGCACCACAGAGCACTGCCTGTGAGCTGGACCCGGCAGGGCAGGTGCAGTATGTGCCCCTGTTAGGTCTTCCAGCCTCGCTCTGCCCCTCCCTGCTCATCCAGGCAGCCCTGACGGCCGATGCTGCCGGGCCGTCCTTCCTGCAAGCCAGGGGACCTTGAGAACTCAAGGCGGCTGCCCGGCTCCACTGCCCTCGGCACAGAGGACACAGAGCGGCACCCGTGCACCTAGAGGCCACCCCAACCTGGCCTGTAAAGTGCTTAGAAGGCAGGATCCTGGAACAAGCCACGCCACCCGTCCGCACCTTCTGCTCCCCACACAGAACCCTCCAGAACACCCCTCCCCCCATGGCATTTTCCATCTGAGTCTCTGTGCATGCCCATGCCTTGCCTCCCGTGAGTTGCTTTATGGGGTGCGTCTGCCTTCCACATGTATCTCAGTCATCTCCAAGCCCAGCTGGGACCCCCCAGCTCCCGTGCCCACCCCTGCAGAGGGCTTCCCGCCGGGGTTGTGGTCTGAGCTCCGGCGTCACTGCCCCTCCGCACCAGGCCCCCACTGCACAGCAGAGGCTGCATCAGGGCTGACCGCACAACACTAATAAACCTTGGCGCTCACTCTGGGCCAGACTCAGGGCGTGACCCTCCATCCTCAGTGACCGCCTGGGTAGCTGATTCTGTCCGACAGATGGGGAGCGAGGGGCCTGTAGCTGATGCAGTCGAGGGTCAAGCTCCTAACTACTGGGCCCATTTCTAGCTACAGCCAAAGAGAAGCAGGTGGGAGAATCCAGACGTGGCAGAGTGAGGCCAAGCAGCGCCCACTGGCAGGGTGGGAGGGGCCCTGGGCTTGAGGGCTGGATACCGTGGGGCCGCCAGCCTCCAGGGCCCCCAGGCCCACCTACCCACCATCCTGACGACACTCCTGGGCACTAGCTCTGGGCTCCGTGTGCGGGTGCGAACCAGAACATGGGGCCCAGATGCCGCCCGGCGCCTGCTTCCAGCTCCCTAGTGGCCCCGTCTAGGCTGCTGGCTGCATGTGGCGTGGGGAACAGCAGCCCTTGTTTTATTTCCTTCTTAGAGACACTGGCTGTGCCTGGTGGCTCCGGGAAGAGAATAAGGAAATGGCAGTGGACTCTGGAGCAGGGAAGGAGGAGGCCAAGCACAGCTGCCCTCGGGGTCCGGCTAGGGGACGCCTCCTGGGGATACCAGCCCGGCCCTCTTGCACAGAAGGCAGAGCGGGGAGTGAGGCCCCGTCAGGGCAGGGGAGAGCACGGCCTGCATGTTCCGCAGGAGAGAGTAGGCTGTAGTTTCGGGGCTGCCTAAAGTGGCGGGAAGGTTCCAGAGCACCCAGAGTGTGGGTGGGCACCGCCCCTCCTGGATGATCGGGACTCAGGCCCCTGGAAATCGCGCAGCTCTGTAAGGCCAGGCCCTGTCTCTGCAAGGAGCGTCCGGTAAGGAGAGCCCAGGCTGGACCCTCACTCCGGGGCTAACCTGTTCTATCCCGACCCGGGGCTCGCTGTGATCACCAGAACAACCCTTGTATCTCCCACGCAGGTTTAGTTGGGAGGCAACCAACACAGCAAAGGAGCGGATCACCGTGCCAGCCGCAGTGCGACCAAGCCCTGTTCTGCCAGCACAGCCCTCTTCTGGCTTCTCTCGGCCTGGTGCCTTCCTGGCAGAGGTGTGACATCCCCCCCCCAACCCCGCTTCCCCTCCTGCAGCATGGACACCCCCAGACCTGGGCAGCGAGTCAGCCCCGGAGCCCCGTCTTCAGGGCAGGGGCTTAGAAGCAGTTCAGTTCCGAACTCCCTGGGACAGCGCTCAGCGCTCAGCGGCTGGACTTCCCCGCCACGCCTCCTAAGCCGGCTGATCTTTGCAGCGAATGGATTTCACTGAGCCAGGGGCCAAAGGGGCTTTAAATCCCTTTGAAGCCTTATCTATCACTCAACTGCTCGAGGGGCTTTTTTTTTTTTTTTATGGAGGGAGGTACCTGTTGTCTAGGAATTTCTCTCTGGAGGAGAGGTTGCCTTGGGACCAGCTGGAACAAGACCCACCCACATCTCAAAGAAATGCCTCCTGTGAAAAAGGACGGAGCTGTGAGCACAGCCACGTGGTCCTAGGTGGTGCTTAGCGAGAGGCTCCGGGCTTGATGAGTGTGTCTAGCCCAGTGCCACTGCAAACATTATGCGTGCAATTATTTACATGCGTCTGTGTGCACAGCAAACGAGGATGTAACGTTTCTGCACAGACGAAGTGTAGACAAAGGGGATCACCAGGAAACTGGATTCTCTGCGGATTTGCCTTTTCTTTTCACCTGTATTTTATAACTGCCCCAAAGTAAACAAGCATGCTAAAAAAAAAAAAAAAATCAAGGTGTAAGTGTGAAAGTGTTTACGCTCCAGACCGTTTTAGCTATAGAATAAGAACAAATGTAAGTGCGACGGGGGATGAAATCAAAGCCGCCAAGGCTGGTCCTGCTGCTCCGGTTTCGCCTGCGATGCCCTCTGCTTGGCGCTGCCGGCTGAGCCGGAGCTGCGGCCAGGGGAGAATGTGCAACGAAGCCCCAGGTGGGAGCGGGCGGCCTCTGCAGCAGCGTGGACCTGGCCGCGGTGGGCGGGCACGGGGACGCCACTCCTCTGTCCAGGGGGAGGTTCACAAACCTCCTGCTCCCGGGCAAAGGTCTTCCCGACTCGAGGTGTCCACCCCTTGAATAAATTCCCACCCCCACATTATCTTCAGACTCCTACCAGCAAAGCACTTCAGGGGCAAGGCGGATCCCGCTTCCAAAGCGGAACTAAACACTGACCTTGCAGTCGGTGTGCAGCAGGTGCTGGGCGATGACCCTGGGGTGGTGGCTGGCGAACAGCTCTTTCGCACGTTTCAACATGGCCGTCTCCAGGGGCTTGTTCTCGGGAGGCAGGAGCTTGGACTCGAAGTCATTGGGCCGGAAGGAGGAGACGGTCTCCAGGAGGGGCGCCACAAACTCGCCCGTGTCCTCCTTACACGTGCCCTCTTCCATCTGCGCTGCAGGCGGTTCCCAAGGCCTAGCCCCATCGTCACCATCCAGGATCAAGTAGCTGGTGCCAGAGTTCCGGGAACCCGGGGCCTCGCTCAGTCTGGCTGTGGGCAGCTGCACATGGCTGCCTAGGGCACACAGGGGCGGCCTCACTCCGTGGTCACCGCCTGCAGCACAAGCCGGGTTCAGTTCACAGTAGTTGGCCTCTGCGCTGAGCTGGGTGGGCGGGGACAGGGGAGCCTTGAGGACGGGCGCTTTGCAAGGCTTAGGGGGTGGCTTGGGGCACAGCTGGCTGTCCGATCCCCTCAGCGCCTCCCCGCTGCGTGGGTCCGCCGATACCCTCCGCACCACGGCCGGGCTCAGGGTGGGCTCGCTGCCAGTCCTGAACACGGGGGAGTTCGGGCTGGGGCTTGTGTCCACACCCGGGGGCTGAGGGGGCAGCTTGCAGCCTGTGGAGAACACGAGGTGGTGAGAGGAAGGCTCCTCCGTGTGGAGCGCGTGTACACACACAGCCAGCCCAGGCCGCAGCTCCTGTCCTTGGATTTCGGTTTTCACCCCCAGAGGAATCTCGGTCTGACTGCCCCACGCCCCATCTGGAGCAGTCTAGAACATTCGGAGGGTGCAGCGGGCCCCGCCCCACACTTGTAGGGCAACTCTAAATTCTAGGGGCTGGAGACAGCTGGGCGGCCATGTGACATCACGGCCACAGAAGGCTGGCAGGGTCACAGCAGCAGGACAGACTAGGCGTGGAGGGCGGGAAACAGCATAAGTGTGCCCTGAGAAGCCTAAGTTTTATGCACATAGCACATGCGGGCCTGAGTCATTCTGGAAGCAAGGGCGGGTCCAGGCCAGCTGTAGAGGGAGAGCTGGGAACAGCTGCGCAGAAGCAGGCTCCGTGGGGCAGCAGGTGCGCCACGCGGGGCCCTGGAAGGTCAGTTACGGAAGTGATGAGAAGCAGCCCCACGTCCTACTAACAACACACTTACGAGGTGTCCCCACGCCTGACACGCTTCTGGTCATGAAGCAAGGAGTTTGTAGGGCTGCTCTGCCAGCAGTCCCAGGAGCCCCCGGCCCAGAGAGGGGAGGAGGCAGTAGGCTCAGCGGCCGTGGAGACTGCCACTCAGCTAACGGGCTCGGGTCACAGAAGCTGGGTCCGCTTGCCAGGTGACCCCACTGCACCTGTCTAGGCCTCCGTTTCCTCAGCTGCGAAATGGGGACAGCCACAGCCACCTCGGAGGCTTAAGACCCAGCACCTGCACAGCACCCAGCTCAGCACCTCCACCTGGACACTAGCCTGCAAAACCCTTTTCCCCTCCCGGCTGTGGGCATGAAGCCTCATGTCATTTTCATGCCAGGGGACTACATGGAGCCGAGCCACAGCCTATAGGAGGTCAGGGTCACCCTGCCGCCCTCCTCCCCGAACATCGCCAAGGACTTACCAATTGGCAGGTAGCTTTCCGACTGGTGGGCTTTGAGGGACAAGGCTCGTCTGTCCTGCATGTGATCCAGGCAGGCTGGCTGGCTGCCACTCTTCTCTTTATTTCTGAAGTCAAAGACAAACAGGAGAGAAACGCGTCACTAAATCATGGTAACTGGAGGCAACGTCGTGCAAAGCTGAGGAGGAAGATTGCTACAGCGCCCCTTCACTGGAAAGGCGCGTTCGCCGACGGGTGCGTGAGCGTGGCACAGTGCCCTGCTCCAGCCCCACGTCCCCACGACCCGTGTGGCCATGTCCCAGGATGCCTCCTCGCCGCCTTGCCATCCTGTGGAGCAGAGCAGGGTAAAAGCTTCACCACACTCTCAGGACAATCCGATGAAGTGGAACGTGTGCTTGTAAGAGCCTCAAATTGCGTACAGGGCCGGGGTGAGGAGGGAGCCACGACGTGGTGAACGGACACATGATGCTTCAGGCGACAGTGGGCAGGCAGCGTGACCACCCTGGTGCATGCCTCAGCATCCCCCCGATCTAACCTGCAGGATTACAGGGGCGGCTGTCACAGCCCGTCCCCCTGGTGGTGTGGGGTCCCTACTGCCAGCCTCCTCCTGCTTGGCTTGGACAAGGGCAAGCAACAGCAAGGCCCAGTGCCCAGCCACAGAGGAATAAGGCACAAGGCAGCTGTCACCACTTGTGCTGTTAGGCCTTCATCCCTTCCCAGCTGAATCAGGCATTTCTCTAATGAGCACCGAGCGGCGGCAGCATCTGACTGTGCGAGACTGCCCAGCCCCGGCCCAGTTACAGTGAACTTGACCGGGCCCTCCCGCAAGCACAAAACTGCTCCTGCTCCAGAGACTGTGGAGTTGTTCCCTACCTTTGCAAGCACCAGAGAAAAACACACAACTCGGACAGAGAAAGTCCGGCAACCCTTCAGAGATCAGGAGAGACAGAGGGCAGATTCCAGAAGGAAACGGCCTCGCAGAAGCCGCAGTGAAGCGGTGACCACCGCGCTGGAATGCAACCTGGCCGAGTGCACACACCTTTGCTCGGGCCGGCCGCCAGCCAGCCAGCCAGCCAACCAGCGAGCCTGACGTCAGGGCGGTGGCACCGGGCCAGAGCTGACGTGAGACAGGCGCTGGAGGGCAGTGGGGCAGGGCCACAGGCCATAGGGGCCATCTTTCCCGTTGAGCCTGCCCCACCCCCACCCCCAGACATTCCTGGGCCCGCTGCCTGCAGGAAGTGGTGACAAGTGTTAGGAGGCTCCACATTCCACAGGGCAATCAGACGGGGCTCTGGGGCTCTGGGGCTCCGTGTGGCCTGATTTGCAGACTCTCTTAAGTCTTTGTCTCCTTCCTCATCTCTAGAAAAACCAGTTTTAAACCAGGATCAGGGAGGGCCGCCTCAGTGGATCTTTCCAGCACCACCCGGAGCATGGTTCCACCTGCTGCTCCCATACTGCTGGGGACTCGGGTTCCCGGCTCTGCTGGGAAGCCCTCTCCCAAAGGAGTCAGCAGAACAGGTGCCCCTCCTCTGTTACGGGGAGGCGATTTCCACTACGGGTTTGTGCCTTCTGCCCCGCACCTGTCCTAGGTGGCACCTGCTACTCCCTGCCCGTTCCCCCACCTGGATAATAATCATCAGGGTTATTAACGCTTACCTAGCCCTTGCTACATGCCTGCACTGTCCTAGGTGCTTTCCGTATCTTACATCATCTTTCCAGTTGAAGAGTGTAAGGCCCAGGGCCGCGAGGTCACTTGCCCACGGCTGCATAGCCGGCTGGTGTGAGGGCAGTGCTGGAGCCACACACAGCTGGGCCACAGCTGGACCTAATATGTGCTAGAGCCTCTGGGTGGCCCCCAGCTGTAACCCGTGTCACTCAGAGTCCTGGGTTTTGCTTCTGAGGTTTTGCAATACAAACATGACAGCTGGTGATGTTTCCTGCTGGGCCAGAGCGACCACCAGTGAGTGGAATGACAGGTGGTGGTTTATGTGGGGAGGCTGAGGCGTGGGGCAGGGGTTGCTGTGAAGTCACCACGGGGCGGGACTGATCCACGTCCCTGCCAACCTCTTCTCTCCTCTCTTCCAGGCTCGGTTAGAGGACACCCACAGAACTCCTTAGCTCCAGCAAAGACAGTTGGGTCTGATACCAAACACGGCATGCTGACCCAGCGAGGCTTTCAGGACCTGGTTTTCAACCCGGTTCTCTGAGCTCCTCCCTTCCACTGTCTTCAGACAGGGGCCTCCACGCTTTCCAAGCCTATCTCGGGGAGTCAACCACAGTTCCCACAGGGACCAAGCCCTAACCCAGTCTTCAGCCCTCCGTCCCCTCCTGGATCCTAAAAGGCTGCGGGACCAGGGCGCCTGGGGAAGCCCAGAGGCCTGGCTCAGATGAACAACTTGGATCTTCTCCAAAGCCCGCCTTTCCTGGCCACTCCCGTGGTCTCTGACTCGCCCTTCTCCAGCCTTCCCGCAGGAGCAGGTGTGCGGGGAGCCTGGCTCCCGTGCCTCCGGCTCGCTCCCTCCCCGCTCTCCCAGCTGGGACTCTCTCCCCTCCCCCTTGCATCCCCCAGTCCAGTTCTGCTCTGGGGACACCATGGGAGTGTGCAGCTCCCTCAATGCCCCCAGCCTGATGGTGAGGCCTCCAGGAACTAGCCGGGGTCACCTCTGGGAGCCGTCCCTACCAGACCCTGCATTGGCTCCAGCCAGCCCCTTCCTTACAGTCCCCAACACCCAGCTCGTGCTGTGCCCCTCACATGGAACACCTTCCCCCCAAACCCTTGGTGGTGCCATCAGTGCAGCCCCAGCCCCGCCCCCTTCACAGCACCTCCCCTCTCCACCCACTGGGTCTCTCCCTCTGTTCTGGCACCGCCTCTTCTCCACGTGACTCAGCAGGGGGGACTGAATCGAATCGTGTGCTGTCTCTCCCTAAGGGTGACAGCTCTCCCTAAGGGTGGGCTTCCTTCCAGCACCTTTTGCGGCTCCTCTGGGGCCAGCCCTCCCTCTGCCTAACCAAGCGTGGGCAGTCTGAGGGTGCCCCTCGCAGCCCCAACACCTCCTGGCGAGGATGCCGTGACCCACCTGAGGAGGTTTCCCCTGGGCAAGCTCTGCTCTCGGGCCTGCACGCTGCCCGGGCTGAGGCTCAGCCGCCTCGTCACATCCGGCCTCCCGTGGGCGAGGCTGCTGTCCCGAGCCCGGCCGGGGGTGGTGCCGTAGCGCTCCTCCAGGCACCGCAGGGGCACCGTCCTGTTGATGGGCTGGAAGATGATGGCCCCGCTCTGCTGGGAGATGGGCCGGCGGTTGCCCACGTAGCAGCGCACCAGGCCGGGGATGGAGTCGAAGCTCTCGGTCTCAAACTGGTACTGCACGCGGCTGTAGGCCTCGCTGAGCCGCAGCACCGTGCGGGTGATCTTGAAGTGCTGCGCCAGGTTCTTCCACTGACACGTCAGGACGAAGTTTCCGGGGCTGGACAGCGAGTCCCGCACCAGGAAGTCGCCATCGCGCTGCATGAGGTTTTCGGATACCTTCAGGGCAAAAATGCGAGTCAGCAGCAGGAAGCACATGGTTAGGTTCCTTTCCACAGGTCATTGCCACCCACTGGTCTGCACCCACAGGAGACCACGCTATCCTCTTGCTCCCTTCTTTGGATTTTATTTTTCTAAACAATTTTTATTTCTTTACTCGAAAGGCAGAGAGAGAGAGAGAGAGAGAGAGAGAGAGAGAGAGAGAGACAGGCAGAGAGAGACAGAAAGATAGATCTTCTATCACTGGTTCACTCCCCAAATGCCAGCAACAACCAGGGCTGGGCCAGGCCAACACCAGGAGCTCCACCCAGGTCTCCCACGCAGGCTGCAGAACCCAAGGACCAGAGCCGTCACTTACTGTCTCCCTGAGTGCACGTTACCCAGAAGACAGCAGCAGAGCCAGGAACCCAGGTGTCCAAGCTGGGAAGCAGGCCCAAGGCCCACCCCCCCACCCCACCCCCCTTCTTCAGTTTCTTAAACGTCAGATCCCTAGGAGAGCCACTCCTTCACTCGAGAACTACTGAGGACCCTCTCCTGTGTGCCAAGCAGTGCGACAGGCATGCACAGCACAGCAGGGCGTGCAGGGAGAGTCTCGCCCTCATGGCCTGAGCACTACCAGGTCTGGAAGGCCGCAGCTGCCAAGGGAGGGAAGCCATGAATCGGGGCCGGGGGGGCACACCTGAACAAGACGGAAAATGAGGCGCCTGGCGGGTCTGGTTCTCCCCCAGCCAGTGCAGTGAGGAGAGGGAAGGATTTTGTGTTGGTGTCTAGAAGTCCTCTAGAGGCCTCTCCTAGGGCAGACATCCCTCTCCAGGCCTGGCCAAGGGGAGGGTCCCCCAGCAGGACTATATGTGCGTGCGTGCGTGTGTATGTATGTATTCCGGACCTGCCAGCGACCAGCTGGAAGGCCTGGAGTAAAGGCTGGACTCCCTCAGCTCATGCAGTTGTGAGGACTAAATATTTGCATACAGTATACATGCAAAGCACCAGTACAGTGCTTGGAACACGTGGATGCTCCAAAATTGGTAACTGGGGCTGGCACTGGGGACATCTGCATCCCTGGTTCGACTCCCTGCTACTCTGCTTTGGGTCCAGCTGCCTGCTGCCTGGGAGAGAGGGGAAGATGGTTCAAGTGCTTGGGCCCCTGCTGCCCATGTTGAAGACCCAGATGGAGTTCCAGGCTCCTGGCTTTGGATTGGTCCAACTCTGGCCGTTGTGACCATCTGGGGAGTGAACCAGCACATGAAGATCTCTCTCTCTCTCTCTCTTCCTCTGTGTCACTCTGCCTTTCAAATAAATAAATAAATCTTTAAAACCTCAGTAAACTGTGACAGTGGCGATGCAGAGAGCAAAAGGAAAATTTATGCTGGGGCAGCCTGGCCCTTCCGGATAAACCACAGGATCTCTTTGTGGCTCAGTTACATCATCATAAAGTGGGGATGATACTGTTACCCACAGAGTGGCTATAAAGATTTAAAAGGATAAAGTGTTAGCTGTAACTATTATTATTATTGTTACAGAGTTCACTTATCCTGTCTGGAATGCTTTATTGCTGAAAATTTGCTTTCATGACAAATGGCAAACAAATTTTATGACCACGATAAGAAGGATGGTGGTAGGGCTGATGCTGTGGCATAGCAGGTAAAGCCAACACTGGCAGTGCCAGCATCCCATGTGGGCACCGGATTGAGTCCTGCTGCTCCACTTCTGATCCAGCTCTCTGCTTATGGCCCGGGAAGACAGCAGAAGATAGCCCAAGTGCTTGGGCCCCTGCACCCAGATGGGAGACCTGGAAGAAGCTCCTGGCTCCTGATTTCAGATCAGCTTAGCTTCAGCCACTGTGACCATTTGGAGAATGAACCAGTGGATGGAAGATATCTCTCTCTCTCTCTCCATTTTTCTAACTCTGTCTTTCAAATAACAACAACAAAAAAAAGGATGGTGGTGAGAGTTTTATAAACTTTGACAATTTTTCCAGGACATTCTACCATTTGATCAATAATGCACTTCTGTGAGTTTAGAATAGTATGCTACCATGGTTACCTTAGGACTGCATCTTTGCCTTAAAAATATGTTTTTGCACAGAAACTCCATTTTTTGGAATTGAGCCTTTGGAAGTAATTATAGGTGTGAACCTAGCAGTTAGCTGACAGGAAGGTGGTCAGAGTGCCCAGTGATTGTGCAGCGTGCACACAATGGCCAGGAGCACAGTGTAGACTGGTGTGAAAGCCTTCATGGCAGGTGAATATGCCCCCCTCCCAAAAAAAACAGTGGGCCACCACAACCAGCAGCCGCAGCCGAACCTTCCACTTGATTTAGAAACTCTGGGAGGATAAACATCGAAATGTTCCAAGAGCTTCCTTCCAGGAGAGTTTAATTTTTCTGCTTTTTGCTATCTATTTTTCTACAATGTTAAACTTTAACAAAGTTAGAATTAAAGTTGCTTCTGTGGTTGTGCTGAGAAATTTGCTGCACTTGAAAGCAACAACAACAAAACCCACCAACTACAATAGGCTGCCCCCCACCCACCCACTACCCAGTTTTCCTGGGTTGAAGATTGACCAACCCAAGTGTGCAACAGAAACCCATGGGCAACCATATACCTTGATTCTGCAGACATTTTTTTAATCACTGCCCGTATTTGTTACTATTTTTTTTTTAATCACTGCTTGATAAAGGAGGCAGGGCGGCCGGTGCTGTGGCAAAATGGTAAAGCCTCCGCCTGTGGTCCTGGCATCCCATATGGACACTGGTTCCAGTCCTAGCTGCTCCACTTCCCATCCATCTCTCTGCTATGGCCTGGGAAAGCAGCAGAAGATGGCCCAAGTCCTTGGGCCCCTGCACCTGCATGGGAGACCCAGAAGCAGCTCCTGGCTCCTGGCTTTGGATCAGTGCAGCTCTGGCCGTTGTGGCCATTTGGGGAGTGCACCAGCGAATGAAAGACCCCCTCTCCCCCCTGCCTCTCTGTAACTCTGCCTTTCAAATAAATAAATCAATCTTAAAAAAAAAAAAGGGGGCACGTTCCAGACAACAGGAGGCTACAGGCATCCAGCCAAAAGTTCAATTACCGGAACCACAGCCTGACTGAGGGCTGCTGCCTCCTGCTGGCCCTGTGTTTGCAGACCACAGGACATTGGCTTCTCCTTCCTGCACTCACTGGGCATCACAGCTTAGTTAGCTCTTCCCAAGGTCTCCTTAGATATGGGTGTATGGGTCTACTAAGTCACTTTGTAGTGCTTGTTTTGGGCTGCACGGGGGCGTGCCCCCACATGACCCTGGAGTGGGACCCTGCAGGGCCATCAGGCTGGACGTGGCCTGAGCGCGGCAGGCCCGTGCGGGAAGGGCTGGGAGCAGGTACCTGTCTGGGGATGCGGCCGTGGTACCAGGCGTGGCTTCGCAAGTCCTCACTGCTCAGCAGCAGCTCCTCCTCCAGCTCCTTCTTCAGCCGCTCAGGGGTCCTGTCCATGACGTGCCTGTCCTTGGAGAACTACAACGAGAGTCAGCAGAGGCCTCAGTCTCCCGGGCCGGGCCGGGCCATGCCAGCCGGAGACAGCCGCCCGCCGTGTGCAGCAAACCGGTGCGTGCCTAGCGCTGTGTTCAGGCAGGGGAGTCTGGATAATGATTACAATTAGCCGTGACCTTTCATTTCTTGGCTCAGAGAGTGTAATACAATTTTCACCTGCACCCGGGGACTGGCATGGGAAAGTCTATGCGGGTGGTGGTGAGGAGGACAGGAGGGGCCGGAGAGAGCCCTGTGAGACGGACACCCAGCCCGGCCAGGCCGCCTTCTTCCCAGGGGGCTTCCTCGTTCCCCTCCAGAGTTGTTCTCACGTGGAGCCGGGAAGGGTGGCAGCTCCTGACTGACCTGAAGCCCTAGCAGTGAAAGCTCTGAATTCTTCGCTATCGGAATCTCAAGTACAGGAACTCAGTCTTTAGAAACTTGGAGATGGCTGGCGCCGCAGCTCACTAGGCTAATCCTCCACCTGCGGTGCCGGAATCCCAGGTTCTAGGGGATCCCGGTTCTGTCCTGGTTGCTCCTCTTCCAGTCCAGCTCTCTGCTGTGGTCCAGGAGTGCAGTGGAGGATGGCCCAAGTGCTTGGGCCCTGCACCACATGGGAGACCAGGAGAAGCACCTGGCTCCTGGCTTCGGATCGGTGCGGTGCACCAGCTGTAGCGGCCATTTGGGGGGGTGAACCAACGGAAGGAAGACCTTTCTCTCTGTCTCTCTCTCTCTAACTCTGCCTGTCAAAAATAAATAAATAAATAAAAAATAGAAAAATAAAAAGAAAGTTGGCTGGCGCAGCGGCTCACTAGGCTAATTCTCTGCCTTGCAGCGCCGGCACACCGGGTTCTAGTCCCGGTCGGGGTGCCGGATTCTGTCCCAGTTGCCCCTCTTCCAAGCCAGCTCTCTGCTGTGGCCAGGGAGTTCAGTGGAGGATGGCCCAAGTACTTGGACCCTGCACCCCATGGGAGACCAGGAGAAGTACCTGGCTCCTGCCTTCGGATCAGCGTGGTGTGCCGACCACAGTGTGCTGGCCGCGGTGGCCATTGGAGGGTGAACCAACGGTAAAGGAAGACCTTTCTCTCTCTCTCTCTCTCTCACTGTCCACTCTGCCTGTCAAAAAAAAATATTAAAAAAAAAAAGAAACTTGGAGAGCCATCAGACTGAGCCATTTTATGTCTCTTGAGTCTAATGAGTCTGAGCTTATACTCTGTATGGGTTTGTTTCTGTTTTCTAATATTTCACTTGTACGACAGATTGGAAATGCAGACTCAGATCCAAACAGATCGATCCCTCACCTCAGACAGCTGCGGAGTTGCTGGCTGACCAAGGGCACTGTGCGGTGGCCGGGGGGTGGGTGGGGGCACTGGCTCCAGGCTGAACTTAGAATCACACCCACTCCCAGCACAGGGCCTGAACGCAGACCCTCGTCCCGTTCCCGGGCAAACCAGACTCAGGGCTGGAGGTCACGCAGGCAGGAGAAGCACCCGGCCTGGGTTTTGCCAGCTTGCCTGGCAGCACCCATCAGAGCCACAGAAGTATTGCTCTTCACACTGCTTTGCACCTCAGCAAGGAAGGAGCCCTTACTCCTCGGCCAAACACGGTGCTGTGGCGCAGTCAGTAAGGCCGCCGCCCGCAGCACCCGCCACTGCATGTCCCAGCTGCTCCACTTCCCATCCAGTTCCCTGCTAACACGTCTGGGAAAGCAGTGGAGGATGGCCCCAGCGCTTGGGCCTCTGCACACATGTGGGGGTCTGGAAGAAGCTCCTGGCTTTGGCCCTGGCCGTTTCGGCCATTTGGAGGAGTGAACCAGTAGATGGAAGATCTCTCTCTCTGCCTCTGCCTTGCCCTCTCTGTAAAACTTTCGAATAAATAAATAAATCTTTAAAAAAAAAAAAAAAAAAGAACACAACAGACTGGGGGGCTTGGCGGCTGACTCTGACCCTCCAGCCGTTCTGCACGCGCTGGGCTCGGAGGGCACCGATGGCAGAAGAGACTCAGGTGGGGCCCGGCGTTCCCCACAGCCAGCTTGCCCTCCTCCTCTCTCACAGTCTGATGGGCAGAGTTTGGCACAGAAGCTGGCAGGCCACGGAGCTGCCATGTCAGGCACGCAGAACTCACTGAATGAACAATACCCCAGCCTGGAGAGTGTCCACGGCTTTTCACAGATGGGGAGAGGCCCCCCTCTCAGAGCCTCTGCAGCTGGGCACCTTGCTGTGCAGCCGAGGGACCGCATTCCTCAATCTCTGCCTCTTACGGGAGAGGTGCTCACACGGTTAAGTTCCCACCAAGGCAAGGTCAAGTGCAACGCGGGTGAGGCCTCGGAGATGAGCCGCGGTGATGGGGCCTCAGCACCACCCCAGAAAGGTGGGGCACAAGGCAGAGAGAGGGGGGTGGAGAGGCTGCTGTCTGACAACTGTTCCTGGTCTTCCACGAGGGTGCTTGAGAAAAGTCATGGAAAATGGCATTAAAAGATGAGTTATGGGGGGCCGGCACTGTGGCGCAGTGGGATAAGCCACTGTTTGCAACACTAGCATCCCATATGAGTGCTGGTTTAATTCCCAGAAGCTCTGCTCCCTGCTAATGTGCCTGGGATGGCAGCAGAAGACGGCCCATGTTCTTGGTCCCTGCCACCATGATGGAGTTCCAGGTTCCTGGCTTCAGCCTGGCTCTGACCTGGTTGTTGTGGCCATTATTTATCTCTTTCAGATAAATAATTTAAAAAATTCATGGAAAATGCATATTATGAAAAGACCATGCATGGATTTTTTTTTGGCACCCAAATAAGCTTATTTTTTAATTCCATTTAATTCCATTCCTCTGAACTTCTTGTAATACTCTCATATGTGATCCTCTGACATCTGTGATTTTGGGTGTTCCTGCTGACACCGTGACCTGAGCCACTCTCCAGCCGTGTGGCAGGAGGCCCTAGGCTGCATCCCAGGCCCACTTGGTCTGAGGCTGACCATTTACAGCAACCCTAAGAATTCTCGTAGACATGTGCTCCTATCCCAGAAACACTCTCCTTTTTGGTCTCTCCATTCTGCTTCCTCCTAGCACCCTCTCAGCATCCGTTACAACAGTGAGGGTTTGTTCCATGCTGTTGTTGTTAGCATTTTAAGCATAACACATCTCTCACGCCAGGTTTTCAGATAATACTGTCATTAAGTCAGCTGTCCCCTTCCTTCTGTCCTTGTATTTCAGAGGGAGACTCCATCACCATTGCTGTTTCCCCCCGAGTCTACGGATTGTACCTGGAGAGGAGACCAAAGGAAATCCTAAAGATGGACCCTTGCGGTCAGGCATCCGCCTAGCAGTCAAGATGCCCACACTGCACACTGCAGAGCCTGCGTTCCATTCCCGGCTCTGCCCTGACCTCAGCTTCCTGCCAATACACACCCCAGGGGGCAGTGGTGACAGCTCACGTCACTAGGTTCCTGCCACCCACGTAGGAGACCTGGACTGTTCTTAGCTCTAGTCCCAGCCCAGCCCTGGACCTGCATTGAGTTTTCATCTCTGGCCATGGCCAGCCCTGATCACTGTGGGCGTTTGGGGAAATGAACCAGTGGATGGGAATGTGTGCTAATGCACTTTCTCTCTCTCAAATAAGTAAAACAATATTAAAAATATATTGACCCGGCGCCAGTGCTGTGACATAGTGGCTAAAGCTACCACCTGTAGTGCCAGCATCCCATATGGATGCTGGTTCGAGTCCTGACTGCTCCACTTCCCATCCAGCTCTCTGCTATGGCCTGGGAAAGCAGTGGAAGATGGCCCAAGTGCTTGGGCCCCTGCAGCTGCGTGGGAGACCCGGAAGAAGCTCCTGGCTCCTGGCTTTGGATCAGTGCAGCTCCCTCGGTTGCAGCCAATTGGGGAGTGGGCCAGTAGATGGAAGACCTCTCTCTCTCTCTCTGCCTCTCCTTCTTTCTCTGTGTAACTCTTTCTAATAAAATATAAATAAATAAAAATCTTTTTTAAAAAAAGTTAGGTTTTTTAATATAGACCCTCCCAAGTAACTTGTGAGGTGAGACCATCAAAACACATGATCTTAAAAAAAATGTCCTTCGGCTCCTGAATAATCCGTGTGAAGTCAGGCAGATACACAACTGCTAGGCTTGCATTTTCACAAAGGCAGAAGGGAAGCAGGGAGGAGCGAGGCAAGAGGAGAGCAACAGAGTGAGCAAGCCCCTGCTGAGGACCTCACACCGCAACCCGACGGTGGCCCGGCCGCCTTCGATTCAACGGTGGCTATTCTGGCGGGTGGACGACTTCTCGAAGTCTCACTTAACTGTTTTAGACACACACACCAATGCAACTTTTACTGTTTTTCCCAACTGCCTGTATTTTACAAGGCCCGTATCTAGTCCACTGTCTTATAGAAAAGTGCTTTGATCGGGGCGCGTGGGGTGACCACAAAGGGAGTTTCGGCAAAATGCGTCCATTTGTGTGTCTGAGAGTGCTGTGATCCACATTCGTGCTCCTCGGGGACCAGAGTGAGCTTCCTGCTGCCTGGCACGGGTCGCCAGCGTCTGCGACATCTGGCAGAATTCTGCTGGCGTCCCCCGAAACCACCGGAACCCTTGGGGACAGCAGGCCTTTCTGCCCCTCTGCTGCCACGTGGGAGGGCTGTGCATTTGTGAACCGCTACCGTTTCAGCCACAGCCTCGGCTAGTTTTTTTTCTTGGCTACCAAGCAAACTCCAGCAGTTTAAGGGAACACAGCAGCACCACTGTCCATTCCATTTCTGTGTGGCCACAGAGGCCTCTCACTGACCCAGGCCCTGGTTCTGAGGGAAGGAGCAATCTCTGTCCCCCACGTGACGTTCACACACATCACTGTGATGCACAGTCATCTAGAACTTGGCACAACAGGAGACGAAGTCGGATGCCGGTCCCAGCCTCCCGACAAACTCAGGGTGACAAGCACACCGCTCAGATTCATCCCGGCTCCTCCCAGAGCGCACGTTCCTACGCATTCCACATCTG